TCTGGGGCCTCATTTATAAAGCCTTGCGTAGGATTCACGAGGGAAGGTTGCTTACGTAGGACAAAGCAAATAAATACGCACAGACATTTTCCGATTCATAAAACACTGCGTACCGGCGTAGGACTTGCGTACGGCACGTCCTACGCCGGTTTCCCTTTATAAATCACAATCAACTCAAAATGCGGCGCAGCTTTTGCGGCCCATATTTGCCGATAAATAGTCAAAGAAATGTCCCGTATTAATATTCATTTCACTGACTGCAAGAAGAAGATCGCAGGAAATGACGACAGAACAGCTAAAAAAGACATTTCACACCGTGCCAGATTTGGGTTATTTTGGGGAGGTCGAGATAAATCATATTGTTTGGTGGATGCAGTTTGAACCAGAGTAGCAGCATGGAGGTCGGATCGTCACCAAAATAAATAAATAAGGGGTCCGAAAAAGGTTAATGACAGTGTGTCAGTGTGTTTGTACCGGGGACAGGAGACACCCGCTTGATGAGAAACTGTAAGAAATGATCGGGGAATCCCTCCGGAGTGGAGTCATGACGACTAGATCTGAATGATTTTTTTTGTAATTGGTGGTTTGTGTTCCAGCTGTCAATCTGTGCGCAGCGTCTCCACTGCAGCCTGTGCATCTCACCCCCCCACCCCCGCAGCAACTCTATATCCATAATCCACCAGTTAAAGGAAATAAAACTAATGTGTTGTGTTATATTAGCTGTACAATTTACCACATGGTGTTCTTAGTTTCCATACCTCCTGTGTTTTACGAGCGACTTAAATCAAGTATTGACGAACGGCATAAAACATGATTAAACATGATAGTATGCTCGTATCTATACAACCTATAGAAAAGCAAAACGGCGTCAGTTTAAAGTAATTCTATCCTTCTGTTTACCGCATCATTTATGAGAATACATTTCTTACCTAGAGAACATCATCGAGGGGTGATCAATAACATTTCCGTATTTATTTATTTCTCCAAGTTATGTTTTTGTGTGCACTGAGGAGTCTCAAACAGGCGTTTGTTTAATCATTTTAAGATTGGCTTTAATTCTTCGTATATGATACATGAGAGCTAACATTTTATTTATGGTATTATTTCCACATATTTCTCTCCATTCTTCCTTCTGCCAACGGTGCAGTTTCTCGTCTCTCCCGTTTTTGTGCGTAGTGCGTACGCATGGGTCAGAGTTTGCGTGGAGGACCGCACATTTTCCCGTCAAGTTTGTTTTTTATAAAATCGCAAACATTGCGTAGAAACTGGCGTACGCCATCTTTTGAGCGTACGCACCGTTTATAAATGAGGCCCCTGGCCTGCATTCAGTCCCTTATGGCATTAATGAATGTTAAATCATCATAATCTGTGTGTGTGTACCAATTTCTACCATTCGAAGTGAAGCAGAATGTTCAATATGACTGTTTTTAAAAGAGCATTTAACATTATTTCGTTACTTTATGCATCTTAACCATCCCTCTCAGAATGATTCACAATGAGTTAAGATGAAACCTTGACACATGACGAGACATTGGAGCAATGCGTTGACTCGAATTAAATGCAATGTCAAATTAGAATGGCAATCAAAGAAAATAATATATAACATTCTATAAGACACGTTCATTGAATGTCTTCCATCTCATTTGCCTTTCATAGATGTGGTCTTTCTGGCATGATGAGGGCACCACTGTGTTAATGTAACATGACTACATGACCGTCTTGAAAAGGCATCAGTGGGCAGGATACCAATGCCTTTTTCTTTTTAGAATGTCGCAGTGGGGAACACCACAAATAAAATGTTTTAATATTATGATTTAATTTGATGCGGTTCTTTTCATTTTGCATAATGAGTGGAGATGTTGATTAAAACTCAAAGCTTCTGTAAAAAACATGTAGCACATGTGGGATGTGAAGGACCAGGGCAATGTTTAATGTTAACTTGGGCTTGATGTTGGTCCCTAAATCCATGGGCGTCGCAGTCATTATATGAGGGTGGGACAAGTCCCCCCCACTTTTTCAAATGATTAGTTTAGACCCCCCCACTTTTACTATGCGGAAAGTCCGTGAATCGGTCTATCCACTCGCCGCACTTTGTAGAGCGCTGTGTCAGTGCTTCACTATCAAATGAAATCCATTCCACTTGCTTATTGAGAGAATGCCCAAATCAATGAAACTCCGTACCATGTTTTCACTGCTACTTTGTACCAAGGCAGATTCTCACATAGCGCGCGCATGTTCAAGAAGTGTTGTCATAGTTGGACAGCTCACATCTGTTGTATGAAGCGATGCCGGTAGCGGAGGTAAGGCACACACACCAAATGATCAGGAAAAGGTTAATACAGCGAAAATCAAAGCTGACGATCTCTTGGTTTGATATGTTTTCTCCCCCAGACAACATGGACATAAGAACATTTTTTTCAAAGAAGAGGAAAGTAAGTCATCAGCTGGTAGCAGTTAATCAGTTAACAGTGATGGCGGTGTCTCACTTCTGGAGAGGAGTTTCGTCTTCATGTCATGATAGAGAGATACAAATACTGAATAGTTTAGAAAAGGCATCGAAATGCCAGGTTACTAGTATTTATCATGTAAACAGGGAACATGAATAACCCGATCTCTCTGTGCTCATGTAAACACCATATCCCCAATATGATCATAACCGGGATAATACTCATAAACGGCTTACTGATGTCCATGTAGAGACGCAGTCAGTGTGTTTTACTGGAGCCTCAGTTCGATAAGAGATTCTTTTCTGAGTTCTTTAACTTAGGTACTCTCTCTCAAAATGGTAATGTGCATTATGTTTTAATTATACTTATCATTCAGAAGCTTTTTGTGTGTGTTTATGTTTTACTGAGTGCTTATAGGCTATTTCCATCCCAGTATTCAGTTAACTATTTATTTTCTGTGCACATTACATAGAATATTCTACCTACTGCTTGGGACTTTGAGTCTTCAAAATGTCCAATGTCACAGACTGGGATTTACTTTAGAGTCAGTTCTATTTACATTCAGTATGACTTGTTATGATTCAATGTGAAAGAGTATACTGCTCAATAAATAATTATCACTTCACCACCTCTCTTGACATCTGGGCACTTGAGTCAGAGGCAGAATGCAGGGACAGTGGAAAGAGGTCCATTGCTGAGGTGAGTGATGAAAGGGAAATGACAGTTGAGAGTAAATTGTGATGTGGACTCTCATCCCAGGATTTTAAGGAAATCAGTGGGGATATTGAACAGGAAACATTTCAGTCAAGGGGCATCATATGACCAATATAGACAGAAGAGCAACATTTATTTGAACATTTAAGTCAATGATACCATTCCTAGGTGAACTTAACATCCGTATGGAGTCAGATCAGTCTCAATATTAATAAATGCTCACAGAAGGATTCACAAATGTATTTTGAGATTTATATATAAATGACTCTCCACAACAATATCTCTCAATGCACTAATTCAAAGACAGCTCTGAATTAATAATCAAATATGTTTCCTTTCTTTACTACTGGATGAAATTACAAAATGTACCCATCATTTTCCTCATGCTAGTATAGCCACATAAAAGTATCAAACCACCTGTTAAAATGCACCAGAATACAGGAAATCTATTTTTTTTTTCGCCCCCACACCCCCCGTTAAAAATGTCCCCCCCACATTCAGGATGCTTCCTACGCCCATGCCTAAATCACTCTTATATTCCACATAGCTGATATTTATAATTCATTCATTAAGTTATTAGTGCCACTCTGATCAGCTTTTGATTCTAGAGCACCAACTGCACACTTACTTAATTCAGAATAACAAAATTGCCCCTCCTGTGATTTTGCACAAGTCCATATACTGTAGTGATTTCTCAGCCCTATGGTTTTGCTTTGAAAATGAATAATTCTTGCAATAACTTCCACTTCATACAAAATCAGTATTTGGCTTTTGTTTTATTCAAAGTAATTGTAGATAATGCAGTGAACAGCTCATTGACTGCCAGTATGAATTTGTCTTGACAATATCACCAAGCCACAGGAAGCTATTTTGACCATTTGTATTTTCCATCAATTGTAAAAATAATAGAGTAAAAGTCAGAGTAAAAGTAACTTTGAATCCAACCCACACAGCTTTCAGCGTTTGAAACAAAGGCATAGCTGTAAACACTCATTCAAAATTAACAAAACACATTGTGTTCTTTTTCTTCCTTGTGTGCGTTTATCTTACAGCTTGTACCGTCTTGAAGTGCTGAAATATTCGAAACCTTCCCTACACCATGGGCAGTGTGTGTGTGCCTGAGTGTGTGTGTGAATAATTGAAGCCAGCACTCTACATCTTCATCCAATCAGACCAATGCGGGAACCCAGAGGAACAGGAGCAGTGCTTCTTGGAATCTCTTCTTTTGCAGCATAATCATATAAATGTAACAATGACTGCAGAAACAAACTGAGTGCAGATCATTACTAATATGTAATATTAAAGGATGCTTTCATGCTAGCAGTTTCGAGCAATTAGGGAGAGAGATGTGTTGAATCTGAGAGGAGACGAAAGGGTAATACATTCTCATCTTACATTTAGAGAGCGAGAGGTTTTTCAACTGGTATGATCCTCCACATTCTCGACACCTAATGAGAACACTCTACTGTGGCTATGTTAATTCATACATACGTGAAAGTGCACAGATAAACACAGAAGTGACACTCCACCTGGTTTCTAGTGTCCAGTGAACACTCGAGCCATCCATTTCCTTCTGCATGTGAGCCGTAAAAGCCCTCTGAGGCAATTATGTTATAAAAAGAGGCTGTGGACCGACATGAACTGACTCTACAGGGAGTGTGATCGGTACCAACTGCTACTTAACACTTGGAGAGACACTTTACAAGAACAGTTGTGGTGGTGTGTATTTGTCAAGATCACTGTTAGCTGTTAACGGGGCTTTGTTTTGGTCTCTGTACTGGATTTAGAGTGAATTAAGTGAGCTGTTCGCAAATGTGTGCGGCTGTCACAGGTACTTACTGCACAGACTTGGAGGACTGGGACCTGAACTTGCTGAACTCGCCTGGAGCGGTCCACTCTGTACCGAGCTGCAACACACAAGAAAGTAGACACAGATCAGAGAGGGTGTGAGAGAAAGAGAGGTGGACATGAGCAGCATAGGACATTTTCAGGCACAGTGTGAAACAGTATTCCTATGAAAAAATTCATCTTAGAAATCAACTTTGTGAGATAGAAAAACACAACTTTGACTGAATTCTTAGGCATCAAAAGGGTCCTGTGTGTCTGTGTTTTCCCTGACTAAGAATAAACTGCATTTCATGATTTATTGTGAGAAACAACGCAATTATACATCAAATCAGACAGACTTATAGCCACCCCGCCCCCCATATAGCCTAAATGGAATTATCCTTTGTTTCATAATGACATTTTCCCACCATTATGATGATTTGACTGTAAGATTGGCAATTCAATCAGGCTCCGTAGATCCAATTGTCGAATAAAAGTGACTCTGATTCATTCCCTGGTTATGATAGCACACTAAATGAAGCGTAACAGGAACACAAGACAAAAAGACCCAGAGGCAACAGGTAGAGTCAACGAGAAGGCTAAGCAGAGACATGAGCTAAAAGCTACAAAAAGAGAGACATTTGGATCCATTCCATGCCAATACTGGGTCTAAGAAGCCGGCTCATCCTGACTCCCGGGACTCCGGTTTAAGCCCTGTGGTAGAATCAGTACCCATTCATTTCCTCAGCAAGCCAACGCCACTAATTATGGCCCCTGCTGCGGCTGATCCATAATGAAGGAGCAGGCTAAGATCATAGCGGGCATGCCTTTAATTGTTTGTGCTGGACACGCTTCTGGGTTTGAATCCCGGTCAGAACACATTGTGCTGCGCTGTCAACACATCACAAGAGACTTTCAGCTTGTAAATGGCTGCTGATCCTCACTCTGGGTATACTCTGTGCAGCACACACACTAACTCCCACCTACAATATAATCACACACACATATTTGAAATTGCAATTATACAATGGCACCTCTGATCACATTTGCTGGCATGAGAAGAAAACCTAAAAAGAAAAAAAAAAAGGGCACTAATGTCTGTCCAAAAGCACCAGGCCCCTGGCAGTGCTGAAGCCTCTGAGAGACTCTGTGAAGCAGTTGGCTGGAGAGGAGGAGGACACAATGTGCGCTACTGTGCCTTCACTCTGAAGCCCGCAGCATGCTGCTGCCGTAGTACATTTCCACACCAACAATTTCCTCACAGATTCCTCCTCTGGCACAGGAAGTGTGGTACAAGTTATATCACTGGGAGTTAACATTGTAATGGAAAGTGTCTAAGTAGTAGATTAAGCTCACCCAGCTAAATGTAACTTGCTCAAGCTGCGTCTCAATAATACTTTTGCTTAGTACACTGTCATGTCGTAAACTGTTCAATTTCGATCGTGAGGCTTTGTCTCAAATCACACACAGCTGCTGTGCCCTCAGAATGACGATCAACGCTGTTAGCTAGGGCTAAGTTAGCGTTACAAATCATTACTAAGCGTTTTGAGCACCAGGAAAAGCGCTATATAAATGTTATTATTATTATTATTATTACACACTGCTCAATTAACCCAATAACATTAACAGTGGCTTCTTTTTTTAAACTAGTATAGTGGTACTCTCATTAAAGGATATAAAAAAAAACACTTATTTTTATAGAGTGTGGTGTTCACCGGAGGAACCACAATCACACTTTTCCCACAATTTCAGTTTTCGCAATTGTTGAGAAGTGTCCAGCGTTCCTCTCTCTTTTTAAGATTGCACCATCAAGGTTCTGTACGGAAAGTGCCCTGCATTTAGCCACATTTCACATTGGGACCCACCTTTTGCCCTTAAAATAGCATAATAGCTAGCAAGTACGAAAGTACACAAATTGACACACATCATAAGTTTACATTTAAAATGAAAGCTCTTCTTTCATATCAATACACAATGTGATTATATTGTAGAATAGGGTGGAAAACACTTATAAATGATGTGAGGCTGCTATGGTCTGGGGTGGGTTTTATATCAGCACTGGTTGTTAAATGTCATAATTAATGGTTTGTGGTTAACAGCCTTCATTAAAGAGCACTCCACCTGTATCATGTTACTGTAATTATTGGATATGAAATACATTTGGCTGTTTTATGTAGGTCACGTCACCTCAAGCCCCAACCCTTAAGCAAGTTTGTGTCGAACTGTCGATGTTGAAGAATCGGAGGAATGAAACCTTTAATGGTCACACATGCAGAGCACACAGCACACATCCCATCCTAGTACCAGGAGTCTAGTACTAGGAGCAGTGGGCAGCTATTGTACAGCGCCCGGGGAGCAATGGGAGTGGGGGGGTGTCCGATGCCTTGCTCAAGGGCACCATGGCAGGCCGGGAGGTGAACTGGGACCTCTCCATGTAGCGGTCCACACTCCATATTTTAGGTCTGGTCGGGGACTTGAACCGGCGACCCATACGGCTCCCAGTCCAAGCCCCTACTGACTGAGCCACTGCCGATGTTGAAGTTTTATTATGCTTATTATGTTTCTGTAACATATATACTGCATGTCTTTCCATCCTGGGAGAGGGGTCCCTCCTCTGATGCTCCACCATGGTGGTCCTGGGGTTTATTCTGGGGATTTCTTTCCTTGTATGCTGTAAGGGTCCATCAACAGGGGTTTGTTATATACTGTACAGATTTGAATGCACCTGAGATAAATGTGTAATGCGTGATATTTGTCAATATTAATAACATTTGATTGCTTGATTGGTTGAATGCTATTGGAGCCATAATGTGTCTCAGCCTTGATGCTGCTGTACTAACGTTTAGCTTGTCTCATTTGGCTTTTAGAAACACTTGTATCTGCTTATTAATACACCAACACTGAGCCCATTCTGACTACATGAACTAAATGAAAGTTGGAACTCATTTAACTTACCTAGACTGCTTTTAAAGTGTTCTTTATGTTTTGTTCAGCTCATACTGACTTACAAAAGGGAAGACTGCAGAAAGTAGTGCAGTATAATCTCATTTAAGCTCGTCTCCCTCAGAAGAACCATCATTAAAATACAATCTTTGTCAATGCAAAGTACTGTTGGTTTCTCTAGAGACGCAGGGAATCTTTAGTGAAAGTTAAATAACTTTGACAAATCAAAGCCGAATGGAATTGCAGCACTTAAAAAACCTTCACAGCAGAGAAAAGTGAAAGAAAAAAGAAGCTGTGACTTATAACTTTGACACTGAATATAAATGGGAAACTTGCGAGACAATAGTGTTGACAATGTCTCTGTAGTTACTGTACTCACATGTTTATATTCTCCCTTTGCGTGAATTGTTTTCTCTGGAAAGAGCGCTGTTGTTTAGAAAGAGAGTGATCACAGCATACCGAGCTGCAAACATATTCATCTAGGCAAGACATGTTATCTAGTGTTGACTCTTTTTTTCCAATAAATAAATGTAAAAAATATGTGTGCAGGCAAAACAACATGATCATTTCATTTGTTTACAAAGCAAATGAAAATTCAGAAGGGAAAAGTATTTTCAGCGGCAGAAAACTGAAAGGATCTCACCTCATTGTAAGAGTTAACATGAATGTTGGATATTGATTAAGAAAATGATGCTTTTAGCAAGTGAAATTCAAGAGGACAAAGACTTTCAATGTATGCCTGAAGCAAGACCCTTTTCACGTCAAAAGCATTTATAATTGTTGTAAAAATTCATCTTGAATGCACAATTTGCGCAAATGTTTGTGATTTATACTATGCCTTTCTTCCAAAGCAGAGTACAGCATATTGTGTTTTAAAGGTTTCAAATTCATGGCCGAGCTCATGAGCATTATGCATTCCAATCCATTTCCTTTCCTTGAATCTGTCAGCCATCCAAACAATCTCCTTCCACAGGGTTTTAGATGCTCCAGATTCTTTAAGAAAAGCTGGAAATTGGAGGGTTTTAAAATATTTACAGTAGGCTCCCACAAAGGAGGAACATATTAGTGCAAGTCCTGTAGCAAAGTAAGAGAGTGTATCTATTTTCTTCCTTGTCAGATGGTTAATCAGCTGTACACAAACAATGGCAGGGTCAAAGCCATTGTTACAAGGATAAAATACGTGCAGTGCCTCAGTTTTCTCATGAAGGAGTAGTACACGTGTACATGCAGACATGAGAAACACACACACACATGTAAACACACACACAGGATTTCCTACAGTACGATGAGTCATTGCTTATTGAGAGCACCAGAGGAGGCGGGAGGTAAATCAGTAGGCAAGCAGCCAGGGAGACATAAGGGGCAACGCGCACACTTCCTCCTATCACATGTTTAAAAACTCCCCCTCACTGACATATTGTCTTGTTTTGTTTCTACTTTAGTAGTCTCCGCAGAGAAATAAGGCAGGGAACTTTGGGACCACATTTCTCAAACTTAAAGCAGCAACCCAGACAAACAGCAACCTTGCTCTAACTTCACCTCTCTTTCACACATACAAACACACACACTGTGCCTCTGTGTGAGCCTCACCCACGAATGTATGTACTTCTGGAAAACTAATTTCGGATGGCACTGGCCCTGAAACACTGAAGAATGAAACACAAAACAGGGTCAAGAAATACATATAAGAAATATAAGAAATATGAGTGTGTTGTGGAGCTACAGTATGGAGACATTACTTCTCTCTCTATCAATTTCTTTTCTTCTTAACTCTCTTTTTTTCTCTCCATATAAGAAAGAGGTAATAGAGAAACAGCCGACCTGTGATATAACTTCAGAGCGCTTTTTTTAAGTTCAGTTTTTCTCAACTGAACTTCAATTGCAATGTGCTGTGTGAGGGTGAAGATTGAATAGTGTTTTGGGTTGCATTCATAGAGGCAGAAAACACAATAACAGGAAACCTGACATTTGGAGAAATCTTTGCCAGAAGAATAGAAGCATTCTTTGAATTGGAATAGTGGGCACTTTCCATTTAGCTGTGTCCGGGCCATGACCCTGGAATTGTTTATAATGTCTCCCAAACAGACCAATTATTTATGTCTTGAAGTACTGATTTCTTCAGTGAGAAATGTATAAT